TAAGATCAGGGCGGAGATCACAAACCACGTGTCCTGACTCTAAAATGTAGACGTCACTAGAGTGTCCTGACTCTAAAATGTAGACGTCACTAGAAAAAACCTGGTGGCAGCTGATAGGGACTGAAAGGGCGGGCAGAAGCCCCCAAAGTTAGTATAAAAAGGAACACTCAGCCCGCCCACACCATGCCCACCCGCGGACAGCCCAAGAGGAGCTGCAGGGCACCCCAACGCTCCTCATCATCTGAGGGATGCTCTGCATCGTCCTCACCCTCTCCAACTCTGCAGCAGCCTCTTGACCCTGGTGGGCACGGCCACCTCTCCTTTTGACCGTGTCCTCAGCCGGCCGTCAGCCCCACACCAGGGGAAGCCTCCTGTGGCCGGACTTTAGATCTGACCCTGGAGCTTAGCACGCAGAGGGACCGTCCGCCATGAGCCTGTCACGATGAGGTGCGTTTGCAGAGCTTAGAACTAATCTCGAGTTGTTTGCTGTGAATTGATGCTGTCTCTTCCCGTGCCCAGCCTTAGGGACTGTCATCTTGATGAAGAACCTATGGAGTGAAATGGTGCTGAGTGATTTGAGGGAATAAAGTATTGAAAAGGGCAGGAGCGCGTGGACGTTCTTTTTTTCTCCCCTGCACCGCGTACGTCGCACCTTGCCCGTCTGGACATGATGTGAACACACAAGCCAGTAACATCTCCTCAGGGCACCTGCCGCCTGGCATCGTCTGTGTGTCTTTCCATACAACTGGATGTGCGGTAGGTTTGTCTACGCCGGCATCCCTGCAGAGGTGAGGAGTGTGTTACGGTGGCCACGATGTCACTGGGCAACAGGAATTACTCAACTCCACTCTAATTTTGTGGGATCATTGTCATATCTAGGGTCCGTTGTTGACCAATAGTCTTTATGCACCTCGTGATTAGGTTAGAAGTTTATAGATGTTCTAGTCCTTAAGAGAAATCAACATCTCCTCTCTTTCATATAACCTATAAGCTGAGAATGATTTTTTTTGTTTGTTTTTGTACTGGGGATTGACCCCAGAGGCGCTTTACCACTGAGTCACATTTTCAGCCCTTTTAAAAAAATATTTTATTTAACTCTGGGACTTCCCTGAGTTACCTAGGGCCTCACTAAGTTGCTGAGGCTGGCTTTGAACTTGAGATCCTCCTGCCTCAGCCTCCCAAGCTGCTGGGATGACAGGAGGGGAAAAATCAAAAGAGGGAGACTATTTTGGGGACACGTGATGTAAAAATGACCTGAAATTCAATTTTAGTGTCTGCCCACGTAGCTTTACCGACACACAGTCCCACCCGCTGGTTTACAAATTGTCTTTGGCTGCTGGCTGCAGGGACAGAGTTAAGAGCTGAGTTAGGGTTGTCTGAGCCCCAGAGCTGAAAATAGTTACCACTGTCCTTGTACTGAAAAAGTCTGGCTTGGTGGCAGATGGGAGGCGCGAGGGTGGGGGGCAAACCCTTTAATGAGGGGACTCCTCTCCTGGGGGTGGACCCCACATGACCCAATCACCTCTTAAAGGCCCCGCCTCTTCCTTTTAATCGACACGTTGTTGTGCACGTTTTTGGAGGAAGAGTGGGATAATCCGACCCGATCCGTATGTGCAGTGTGGGATGATCCCATCAGGTTAATCCGCATTTCCACCTCCTCATTGCTCCTTTGTGTCTGAGCTCGGCTCTTCACTAGGTTGTGGCCCGCTGTGTCACCCCACTGTGCTGCAGAGCGCTAGAACTTATTCTCTTCGTAGTGTTACCATGGAGACTGCATTTCAACATGAGTGTTGGAGGGGACAAACATTCAAATTGCAAAAATACCAAAACCTTGGCCTCATCCATAGAAGAAACTATCTGTCACCAGCCACTCTCCGCGCCCCTCCCCCAGCCCTGGAAACCTCGTCTCTGCTTTCTGTCTCTCTGGATTCTCCTGCACTGGACATTTCATCCCCATGGGATCATACCCCAGGCGGCCTTGAGTGTCTGGGTTTTACTCTGGCATCATGTTTTCCAGGTTTACTCACACTGCAGCACGTGCCAGTGCTTACTTGCTTTTTATGGCTGAATAATATTCCACTGTATGGGTGGACCCTATTTTGTCTGTCTACCCATCTGTTGATGGACACTTGGGCTGTCTCTATCTTTTGGCTACCATAAATAGTGCTGCCCTGAACAGGAGTGCTTCAACACCTGCTTTCAATTCTTCTTCATATAGATGTAGAAGCCGAATTATATGGTAATTTAGCATATTAGTGTTTAACTTTTTGAGGAACCACCAAATTGTTTTCCGCGGTGGCTGAAACACTCTGCATTCCCCCGGCAACATACAGAGGTCAGATATCGCCACATCCTTGCTAAGGCTTGGGATTGTCTATCCCCCACCCCCACTCTGGCTTTTTGTGCTGGGGATGGAACCCAAGGCCTCCAGCCTGGTGCGCAGGTGCTTCACTACTCAGCTATGCGCCCAGCCCCCCCTTACACTTTCAAATATTTGTCTGAGTCAGTGGGAGGTGGCATATCATAGTTGTGATAAAATTTTGGCATTTTATTCATTGTGGATTTTTGTGTTAATTTTGATTTCAAAAATATGGCATTCAACATTATTGAAAATGATGTTTTTGTTATTTGAACGCAATTTAAAATTTGAAATCATATTATTTATCTTGATTTCTATTTTTTTTTAATGGCTTCCCACAAACGCCGAAACCTGGCTTTCTCCTTCCTCCCCTCCGCCCCTTGCACCCCACCTGGGTTCCCAAGGCTCGGCCCATTCAGGCAGCATTTCCCGTGATGGCCTCCAGAGGGCGCTGCCGCCCCGCTCATGCCGCGCCTGGCTCTTCGCGGCCTCAGGTTAAAAGGCTTATTAACACATCTCAACCCGGGACGATGACGTTCACCATGCACAGGTGGCTCAGAGAGACAGAAATGCCTGAGGCTCAGGGCCTGCTCAGCACACAGGGATTTTCATGGCTATTCCTTCAGGGTACTAATTGAGGAATATTGCATTCTTTTCCTATGGAGAAATTCAAACACTCGCCTCAGGCAGGACCACCATTATCCCCTGGCCAGCCCTACTCCTCCCGGCCCTATCTACATCCCATCAATTATTTTGAAGCAAACCCCAGTCATCTCATCATTCCATAAATGCAATTTCTTTTGGTATCCAAGGGAGATTGGTTCTCGGACCCCCACGGATACCACACTCCTGGTCTGATCAAGTCCCTGATATAAAACAGCATGCTATTGGATTAGAGCGTACACACATCCTCCTGTGGCCTTTAAATAATCTCCAGATGACTTAGAATCCCTAAGCCATGCAAATGCCGTGGACCTAGTTGGGATGCTGTGTGGTTTATCTTATTGTCAGGGGAAAGAAAAGGTCTGTATCCATTTAGCCCAGATGCAATTTTTTCCAGAATATTTTTGACTTGGGATTGGTTGAATCTGCAGATGCCCAACCCACAGATATGGAGGACTGACTGTATTGTATTATGTGTCTCTAAAAAATAGAGACGCTTTAGAAAACTAATCTAAATCCCATTATCACATTTCAAAACCTCTGCCAAGAATTCTTCAATTCCGCAAGTTCCTGTTCAGCCAGCAACTCAGGTTTAGAGTCATGCTTCCGTTTGACTCTCAACTTACCTCCTTTGCCATGGGAACTTGAGCAAGTTACCTAACTTCTCTGAAGCTTGTTTTCATCACTGATCAACCAGGGGAGCAGATTGAAGTCCCCAAGTTTGTCCCCAGTGTAGGTATTTGTACCCCAAACTTGAGTCCCTCAAAATCTAATAACAATGGACTGGAGGGGGGCTCAGTGGCAGAGCTAGCAGACCTGAGGCCTGGAGGTCCAGCCCCAGAACCCTCAGAAAAGAAAAAATACAGTAATATTGTTATCACTGGGACAGATCAGCGGTTCTCAGTGAGGGGTCAGGGGAATTTTGCCCCCCAGGGGACCCTTGGCAAAGTCAGGATTCATCTTTGGTTATCACCACAAGGAGAGGCCAGGGATGCTGCCCTACAGTCCACAAAGCACTAGACGGCTGCCCACGACGAGGAATGTTCTAGCCCAAATGTCATCAGTGCCAAACTCGGGAAACCCTGGTCTAGCAACTTAGATTTCATGAACATTTGCTGAATTTTTTTTTTTTTAAACCCAGGGGTGTTTAACCACTGAGCCACATCCCCAGCCCATTATTATTATTATTATTATTATTATTATTATTATTTTAAGACAGGGTCTCGCTAAGTTGCTTAGGGCCTTGTTAAGTTGCTAAAGCTGGCCTCAAACTTGCTATCCTCCTGCCTCAGCCTCCTGAGTAGTTGGGATTACAGGTGTGCGCCACCGCTCCCAGCTGCTGGAATGTTCTTGACATTGGCTGCGGAGCTGGGTTTGATTCCTAACTGCCGCTTACTGAGGGAAGCTGGTGGTGGTAGTCATGATGGGGATCAGTCACGGCCGACAACTCACGGGCCCCTCCTATGACCCGGGTGCGGTGCAGGCTCAGTCTCTCGTAAAAGCATTATAAGGCTGGGGCTGGGGCTGGGGCTCAGCGGTGGGGCGCTTGCCTGGCATGTGTGAGGCACTGGGTCCGATTCTCAGCACCGCATATAAATAAAATAAAATAAAATAAAATAAAGGTCTATCAACAACTAAAAAATAAAAATAAAAAAAGCATGATATTCTTACTAGGCCAGGAGGTTGTTGGAAATCACATGTGACCTCATTTCTCTGGACCTGTTTTCTGCATCTATGGGACAGGAACCTAATATCTGCCTCCTGCTTGTATTTTGGACGGCTGATGCTGAATGCCAACTGGCTGGCACCTCCCAGACCCTCAACAGATGGCATCTGCTGTGATGAGCGGTCACAGCCTGGCACACAACAGTTAACCGCCACTCCTGGCTGAGCGCCCAGCTGAGCCGGTGCCTGAGAGCCAAATAATTCTTTTCATTATCCCAGTTGCTGGGAGAATTGGGCGGGGAAAGACCCAGAAAGTGCCTAAGACAAAAGTTACTAGAATTGCAGGAGGCTTGTCTTCTGGTGGCTCTGGGCTCGGAAAACTTTCTTCTGTGACCTGCTTCTCCAGAGGATTCTAAATTGGCCTTTCTAGCACCAGCAAGAACAAGAGGGAGGCTGAAGTCCCCAGGGAAAGCCAGAAGACAGATACTGCAAAGGGTCTGTTCCCTTCCTGGGGAAGCCTGGTCTTGCTCAGTGTTCTGCAGCCACAAATAGCAGTCGAGAAAGAGGGACGATTGTGGATGAACCCACTGAGGTAACAGTTATTTACTGAGCACCTACTATGTGCCAGGCAACCCGGCCTTGGCAGACAAGATCCTTGCACCGTGCAACTCACGTTCTTGCAGGAGAGACAGTGTACATCATGTAGAATCATGTGGTGAGTACTGTGCAGAAAATCAAAATAGGGTGACAGCATTGGGACTCAAATGACTAAAAGGATCACTGAGCAATGGGACAGTTAAGGAGAACCTGTCAGGAGGTAGCATTTAAGCTGAATTGTAACTGACATGAAAGAATGCAGTATAGCATGTCCAAAGGTCCTGAGGCCAGGGGTCCTTAACCAGGAGTGATTCTGCCCCTTGCAAGGCATTGGCAATGTCTGGAGATTGCTTTGTTTTGAGACAGAGTCTTGCTAAATGGCCTACACTGGCCTAGAACTTGTGGTCCTCCTGCTCCGGCTCCCAAGTAGCTGGCTCACAGGGTGTGCACTTCTGTGCCCAGCTCTGGAGATACTTTAAATTATCTCGACTTTGGTGTGGTGGGGACTGCTTTTCCATCTGGTGGGTAGATCCAAGAACGTACAAGACAGCCCTCGTGCGTAAAGGAGTGACCTGGTTCTAAATGTCAGTCACGCAGAGAGTGAGAAAGCCTGGGCTGGAGAATATGCAGAAATGTGGGGGGAGTGTCACCGTCAAAGGACACTGATCCCCTGGGGACAGGAGGAAGCAGTAATCCAGGGAGGGTGGCCACTGCTGGAGTGTGATAGGGCCCAAGGCCGTGGAGAAAAGGAC